GGTCAGAAGGGGCTGTTCGACGATTACCTCATAGGTGTGAGTGTCAGTGTGGGTGATAGAGTGCGCGTGGTGTAAGTTGAGGTTGTCTCGATTTGAACGTGACGTTTCATTCTTCTGCCCCCACGAGACCGATTGAGTAACTGCAATATTCGGGAACCTGACAAGGTTCTTTTGTTGGTTTCGATAATCAATCGATGGTGCAAGATGAGTCATGATAAGAGAGAGAGTTCATGGTAAGTAAGAAAGGCGGAATATGCAGAGGGTGACTCTTCGGTGATGGTGATGGTGATGGTGATGGTGATGATGATGATGATGATTAGGGGAGAGGGCCCTGGAATCTGGGGCAGTTTGTTCCTTCGGTAGGCGGAAACACGGGCTTGACCGATGCACGCCAATGGGGAAGTCGCGTCATGGCTTCTGTGGCTGCATCCGCCATTTGCAGGATGACAAAGCGGGATGACAGAATAAAGGGTGCAGCTTGCTGACTTATTCGCTATCGTGATGCCTCATGTAAATGTCTTGTCTTTTAGGCAGCCTTTTAAACTTATCAAGAGTGCCCATGTGACGAGAAACTGCACCTTGGAAGCTTCTTCTCTGTGCCTATTGCGATATGGGACGCGCATGCAGTCAAGCACACGTTGGCACATTCAACGAATTTCAACCGGGATTAATTGGAATCTCTTTGTCTACTCCGTCCGTACCGTGTCTCATCTCTCCTAAACTCCATGATAGACTCCGAATCTAGATAGTCGGAGTTTGGATCGAATTGGAATCACACGGCCTCATTTGTCAGCCTTGATGACGTTTCTGCGTTGCAAATCCGCAATTGTCTTGACGTTGATACATACAGTACCAAGAGTGCGGAATAGTTTGGGCGCGATGATAATACGAATACTATGCAGTATCTTGGAGGTGCGTATTTACGTATCTAAGCTCCGTCTCCACACCAACTCTTCAAACTCATTTGATATGTCTGTTATCTTGGACAATTGCATTGTTGGGGGTCGAAAGAGAGAGAAACAAAAACCACCATGATGCATCTATTCTGCATCTGCTGCTCCAGGTCCATGGCCAGAGCCGTGGAGGATGATTGATTGATTACATGGACAGGGGTGTTCATTTGAGGCTGTGGCTTATTATAACGTATACCCTGCCCAAGCCCCGTAAGCCCATCAATGGAACGGGCAGTCCAAAGACTCACTCGCTCACTCAGTAATACAATACGCAGCGACTTGACTGGATACGGCCCGGGTCTTCCGCACCCCGACCCGACCACCCCTACCCCGGGTACCGTGGGCGTGGCTACTTATTAACTTACACCGTTTGACAGAGACCCCTGTAACTGTACTGCAAGGTCCGGTCCCCCATTAACACATTGCCCTCAGCCCTACGATGGTGTCCTCCACCACTCACGGCTTTGATGGAGCCCCTGTCAGCATCGGCGACATGGCGCAGACTGACGGAAGCGAAAGAAGGTTCCATAGCAAGGGCGGAACAACGGGCACTGCTGTAATCTACCTAGCACGATACGCTATGTAGTGTGTTTCTATTTTGTTGCCCCCATGCTAAGGGTGTGCTTGATCGTCATGATACGACAACACAACCGAACGAGCGAACAGGCGTCAGTCAGAGTCAGCCGCTTCCACCGTCTACCGAGAATCCCTATCTGCGATGTGCTTAGTTACCCTTGGCATCGTTCTATAGTTGACTCACTTTCTATATAACTGTCCATCTCCTCCTCCTCTGAATTAGAATTCTCATCACCATCAACAACCAGTTTCATCTACATTCTACAACTACACTCTACAACCCAGCACTTATATACAACATCTCAGCTCTTTCAACTCAACTCAACTTCCATCTTCGCCCAAAAGTCTCACTCAACTCAACTCTACTCTACAACACTTACAATGGCTGCTTTCACTCTCACATTTGCTCCCACTACCCGATCCTTCGGCCGATCTGGCTACAACAAGGACGGCGACGACTCTGACTCCAAGCCCACAAACAACCGTGGTCGATCTGGCTACAACGAGCCTGAGGAGGGAGACTCTGGTCGCTCTGGCTACAACGGCCCTGAAGACGATGATTCCTCCAAGGGCAACAAGGGTCGCTCTGGTTACAATGGTCCCAGCGACAATGACGAGGAGTAAACTCACTTGTTACTCTCGAGTCACTTCCCAAAAGCATACACAGCGACAGCGCAAGCATGGGGTGGAGTTTTCTGTTTAGACACTAGTTTCAACAACATTTGCATGGAACGGAGTTTTGTTTTGTTCTCATCATCAGCATCGGTATTCGGAGGAACAAGTTGCAGACACGGACGGCATCGCATAGCGGGAGTTGGAAAAGATGGAAGCATAGCATTACACAACGTTGGCATGGCATGGCATGGCACGACACGGCACGGCATAGAAGCGAGCATACAGCATGGATTTCCTTTTGCTCTGTTTTTCATATCTTCTCATCTGAAATTCATTTTCGCTTTCTCTTTTCATAACCGGCTAGACCAGGCCCAGGCGGCCCAACCTTGAGTCTTTCAATTTGTTCAGATCAGCTGCTCTCTATAGAATATTCCTCGATGGAAAATATATTTCAACTCTCTTACCAATGTCCCGTCGCTATAATCTTCCTTGCCAAGCGCTTATTTCCCCACACAGAATCTAACACGTATCAAAATCAGCATCCATCAGACATCTCATACATAAATTTGTCAGAACTTACTTTTCAAAGATAACACCCAGTACATCCTCAACATCTCCAAACTCATCCCGTCCTGTGATCCGCGCAAGGCAATTCGCAGCATACCTCAGATACTCGGCCGCGAGTACAGTATCGGCATCCAAGCCCTCTTCAGGGGTAGCCTCCATCATGAAGTCCTCCAAGTGTCGACGGCACTTGACCAGTAGCTGGCGTTGGCGCTCTGTAACGCCTAGCAGATCCTGGAGATCTATGGGCATGGATGTCATCTTCTCAAAGGATGCCACGAGCTTGGTGATCACATCCTGGATACCGCCAGGATCCTTGCTCTCCCATGTCCCTGCCTGAGCCTCCTTACACGATACCGACACGAACTGCGCCGCCGCTAGTTTGGGGGCTCGAACTCGAACAGCTTTTCTGAAATCTTGAACCAGCTTCTCAAATTCTTCTTTACCAACCGCATCTTTTTTATTGACAACAACAACACAGTCCTCTGCCCCCGCAGCGAGATCGAGTGTTTCTTGGTCGTATTGCAGAAATGACCCATCCTGACCATCCTCCACGGATGCTAGGACTATAACAAGGTCAGAGTCCAGAGCTCGTTGCTTGGCTCGCCGTATACCTTCTTCCTCCACGGCCCCAATTGCGCCACTATCAGCCCCGTTTAGCACCTGGGAACCTTTGGAGCGAAACCCAGCCGTATCTGCAAATGAACATAAATAGCCGCGAATGTCTAAGCTTGCCTCGACGATGTCTCGCGTTGTGCCTGCTTCACCGGACACAATAGATGCCTCGCGCCCAACGATCAGGTTCATAAGCGAGCTCTTACCAACATTGGGTGGCCCTAACAGCGCTATACGAATTCCGTTCCTCAAAAGCTCGCTCTTTTGACTTCCCTGTTCATGCAGCTCAATGCTGTGTAGCATCCTGGCAACTTGCGCAGTCACGTTCTGTAACAATTCAGCTTGGGACTCGTCGAAGTGCTGGTCTTCGGAAAAGTCGATCAATGCTTCGATCTCACCACGAGCCAACAAGAGCTGCTCTCTCCATGCCTCGTATTGTCGTCCAAGAGCACCTGAATTGCCTCGCACGGCTGCACGACGTTGCTGTTCCGTTTCAGCTGCCAGGGTGTCACTCAGGGATTCAATTTGAGCAAGATCCAGGCGGTCGTTGAAAAAGGCGCGCTTCGTAAACTCGCCAGGCTCTGCGTATCGAATACTATGTGTAGCGGAACATTTCGGAACGGCTGCTAACACAGCTTTCACGGTGGCTGATCCTCCATGAACGTGCAACTCCAAGACATCGTCACCAGTCACAGTCCTGGGGTTAGGAAAGTAAAGAACAAGGGCTTCTGAGTCCAGCACTATCTGTTCATTATTGGCATGCTGGGGGTCATATAGGGACCGCACTGTTGCATATCTTGGTTTTGGCAATGGCTTCGACGGGCAAAGTGCCTCGTAAATCTTCAGACCAAAATTAGATGCCTGTATATGTAGTAATTTGTATGACACTTACCTCAAGACACGATGGGCCAGAGATGCGAATTACCGCAATACCCGCACGGCCCTGCGCCGTTGATAGAGCATAGATGGTGTCGTCTATGATTGGTAGTCCGGAGACAGATCCAGAGTTTTGTGTATGCCACGACTGATGCGAGAATGGCTTCGTTAACGAGGCAATATAATGCCGCAAAGGTGGTGTCAAATTTTCGTCGTTGCACTTCCTTACATAGAATGGCGATAGGAAGACTCGAGAGCGATTCGCTTTGCAATTGAGCCTCCTTAGGAGACTGCGTCTCAGCATCGGCGAAATGAGTGATGATGAGATATTCGGACTTGTTCTAATTTTTATATACTCTGACTTTCTTAGAACAAAGACGATAGACGCTGTATTTGGAAGAAATAAATGAGTATTGGCTGAGTTTTCCTGGTTGGAGACATAAACAAGACTGGAGAGAAACCTAAGATTGATTCCATCCATGCTATAGCGCTCAGGGCCCACTGAACGTATCAAAATGATAGTGCACTAACCCACTGAAACTCACCCATCAGGGCCAGGGTGGTGGATGTTTAACTTGAGGTACCTACGTACCTAGTAGAGGATCATCACCAGTACAAGCTGTTTAAGTAGAGCTTCTTTTATCACACTTGATTTATTTGATTCTTATCCTTTATCCTCATGGAACATGTTGAATTCAACATCCATCTAGGTTGACTTTTATCCTTGATGTCGTACACGCATCTAATCAATTCCACGAATCCTCAAACCATCCAGCTCAATCTTTTCATGATTGGACTTCCTTAAGAGGTAGCAAACGTCTCGATGAACTTGGCAAGCTTTTCAGCGCCGTCCAAAGGAATGGAATTATAGCTGCTGGCACGAATACCACCCACACTTCGGTGACCCTTGAGGCCGGTGAGACCCTGCGCAGTGGCCTCTTTGAGGAAAGCCTTCTCCGTACCATCAGTGTCGCCATTCTTGGTAACTCGGAAGCAGATGTTCATCCTTGAGCGAACAGACTTGTCAGGGACAACTCTGTACACATCGGGGTGAGCGTCAAGAGCACCATAGATAAGCTCGGCCTTCTTGGCGGATACAGCCTCCTGTCCCTCGACCTTGTTATAGGTGCTGAGTGACTTCTTGAGAACTTGGCCAGCAATATAGACACTTAATCTAGTCAGTACATGTGCCACACGTGTCATATAGAAGCGCTTACTCGAAGATGCTCAGGGTATTGTAGAGACTGTTGTTCTTGGCGATAGTCTCGTAAGAGAAGATGATAGGAGGGATAGGAAGTCCAAGTCGCCGAAGAAGTGCGGCAGGGGGCTGAGGTGTCTTGGGGGGAAGAAGGCTCTTCTTGATAATCACAACGGTAACACCAGTGCAGCCGAGGTTCTTCTGGGCGCCGAAGAAGATGACTGAGAAGTTTCGGACAGGGATTCTCCTCGACAGGATGTTGGAGGACATATCGGCCACAACAATAGGGCCCTCGCCGTCAGGTCCAGGGGTCAAGGACTGAGGGAAAGCAGGAAATTCTACCCCATCGACGGTCTCGTTGTCGCAATAATACACCAAAGCAGCGTCCTTGGAAAGGTTCCAGGTGCTCTCCTCGGGAATCTTGCCATACTTGCCATTGTTAATCTGGCGGGCGTCAGCGACAATGTTGACATGCTCAGGACCAAGCAGCCGCTTAGCTTCTTCAGAAGCCTTCTGAGACCAGCCACCAGTGACAATGTAATCCGTCTTGAGCTCCTTCTCGACTGCATTCCTGAGCTCCTGCTCCACACGAGGGTCGTCCTCAGGAGCCTTGAGGTTGGCAACAATCTGGGCCTTCTTCTTTGTCACCCATGCACCGACAAGGTTGTACAAGGTAGCGGAGAACTCTCCACTTCCACCACCCTGCATGAAAAGAACCTCATAGTCCTCGGGAATGTCAATGTATGAGGCAAGATCAGCCTTGGCCTCGTTGATGATGTTTGTAGCCAGCTCTGAACGATGGCTGTGCTCAGCAATACCTTGTCATTTGTTTAGTGACGTTGACGACGAATTATGAGATTTTGGATGTACCTAATCCGGTATGCTCATAGTCGAGGAGGGCCTGGGCAGCCTTCTCAAGGACGTCTGTGGGCAGCAGAGCAGGGCCTGCGCCGAAATATGTGATCTCAGATCTGGAAGGCATGATGTCGTTGTGTTGAGAGAAGAGAGTGTGACGGAATATGCGAGAGGATAAAAACTGGAGTTGTCTAAAAGTCGCGGGTATTTACTGTAAGTCACAGTGAGTCATCCAATAGAAATGCCCACAGAAGAGATCCGGTATTCAACAACGTATGACTCTGAGAAGGTGAGTTTGGTATGACAGGAGCAAATTTGAAGAAATGAGGGGTATATGTATAGCAGTCAAGAATGGACAGGTCTTGTTCAAATCCTCGATAATTCAACAGATTGGTGAACCGTGATGGCTGTGAACTGCAATCGTTATTCGCTGAGGCTAAAATCGCCATCAATGTGGTGGCTCCGCATCAATTGGGGGTTTTGTTAGGCTGGCACAGCAGATACTAGAGGAATATGAAAAGCTGTGCCAGTTTCTGTTGTGTTCTGAAGTGTATTGCCTCAGAGAATGTTTTACTGGGCATGCCTAATGAGTCCATCACGGATTGTCGAAGAGTAGCAGTAACTTCAGGACTTCTATCGAGAAGCTGCATTTACTTGCACGAGAACATCAAAGTCTTGAAAACAGATATTTTTACAACAGAGACCCCCAAGACCAAGTTAGTGCAATCAAGGTCACAGACGAATGAACGTTAAGAGATAGGTAGCATGAATTCCAAGCCATTATCTGCAATAGAGCTTGCTAAAGGTATAGATAGTAAGGGAACATGCATTCATTCCTTAGGCCCCCACTATACTTTAACGGTTTAATCAAAGTTCATCATTAATATACATCGCTAGTCACGGCTCCAAGTAACAGCAATTGGCTAATAAGGCAGATGTATCCTTGTACTAGCTTTTCAAATCGGAGCAACGACTTCTCTTGCCAGCCGTTACCATGGAAGTGTGGTTGCTTTTCTGATACAACACTTGTATCAAGAGCGTTTCCACGTGTTGAGCTCTTCTGAAATTGCAGTTCTTTTCAGGGCATTCGTGTCAAATAAGCTCTGGTCCTCGATTTCTCTAACAGTAAGTCAGGCGTAGTCTCGCCATGCTCTCATCAGGTCACATCCAATAAGAAAATATACAATCTTACAGGGACAGGCAGTAGTTCTCGTCAAGAAACTTAGAACCATGGCAGAAGGGTTTTTTAAGGTAAGTGAAAGAGTCAAAGTTACCACATCCCAGGCGGGATCCGAAACGATGATCTAAGAGCATCAACAACATGAAACTGTCAGATTTAAGGATAACTGATTATGAATGCACGAACGGGCAGCTGGGTGGTTGAGGATATATCACACCCAACGCCACTCTGTGATTCCATAATTCAACTTGGCCCCTTCTTATGGAGCCGGAGAGTTCGGTAGAGGTGATTCTTGTCCATATTTCCTTCTTTGTGAAACTACGAAAATAGGTCAATTATGAGATACAGGCTAGGCAGGGAGAAAATAAGAGCCTCAAGGACCCCATGTTATCATGAAGCTACCTATCCGATTGAGCAGGCGGTGTGGCGGGTCATCCACGGCAGAATGGAAGGCTGCAGGTCCCAGCGCAACGACCCAGCCCGGGCTACGAAGCTTGAGCTGCCTGGTGCTCAACCACCTCAACTCCATCCCGACCTACCTATACTAACAACCAACGCCCAAAATCCACCTCTCCACGAAGCTCTCCATCGCAACCCCCACCCATAACGATATTTGCTTCGCGCAATCCCACCGACCACATTCTACACGGCGCTGCCACAGCAGCTAATAATTCATCATGTTCAGAAACAACTACGATAACGATTCCGTTACCTTGTACGTCACCTAAGCTGCAAGCTCCATCCTGTCACCTTGACCAAGCTGACTTTCCCCAAGCTCGCCCCAGGGCCGAATATTCCAGATTGAATATGCTGCTGAGGCAGTGAAGCAAGGTTCAGTCGTCGTCGGTATCGCCAGCAAGACCCATGCGGTTCTCTGTGCTGTCAAGGTTCGACCATCTCCCAGCCCCTCCATAGCATCCTTGTCCCGTACAAGAGCTTTCGAAGTCATTCTTCTAACACGCACTCTCGTAGCGAAATGCAGAGGAACTTTCATCCTACCAAAAGAAACTTTTCACTGTCGACGAACATGCTGGTATCGCCATCGCCGGTCTTACTTCCGATGCTCGCGTCCTCTCCAACTTCATGAAGCAGCAGTGCCTAGGACACCGACTCACCTACGGCCGTGCCATTCCCCTCCGATCCCTTGTCGACATGATCGGTGAGAAGGCCCAGATGAACACTCAAATGTACGGAAAGCGACCTTACGGTGTTGGTCTGCTAGTTGCCGGTGTTGACGAGCGCGGTCCCCACCTGTTCGAGTTTCAGCCCTCGGGCATGACAGAGGAGATGCTTGCTTTTGCCATTGGCGCGAGAAGTCAAATGGCTCGAACATACCTTGAGCGCAACATCGACGAGTTCGCCGACTGCTCAAGGGAGGAGCTGGTCAAGCACGGTCTCAAGGCTCTGAAGGAGAGTTTGGTTCAGGACAAGGAGCTTACAGTAGAGAACACTTCAGTCGGTGTAGTGGGCATCAACACAAAGGACGGCAAGAAGAAGGTCGAGCCCTTCAAGCTGTACGATGGATTCGAGGTACAGCCATGGATCGAGAGCGTCGGCGAGGGTCAAGGAGGTGCAGAGGAGGGCGAGGGCGAGGGCATGGATGTGGACAGCTAAACGTGCGACGAATGATGAAGCGGATACACGTGGCGTCGGGTTGCTAGCTAAATAGATCATGTACAATTACATGCTGCAAAGACAGCTTTTCATGGGTCTCACGTCTGGTCAGTCACAACAGAGCAGGTGGTTTGGGTCATCAGTCCGTCTATTTATGGAGCGCCAGTCTATCCAATCCTAGAAATGCGGGAACGAAGAAATATCCGTAAACACCATCAAAACACCCGTTTGCCTCCGGTTTCCTAATTCAACCCCGGATCCAGATCCAGCGCCTCAAAACAATCACTTACTGGCTGCCCCATTGAAGTTGATAGATAGCATCTGAAACCTTGTATTCGCGAAGAGCCTTGATTGCGCCTTCAGGAGTATCGGCGTTAACCAGGATGTTCTTGTTGGCAGGTTTTACAAACCCCTCCTCAGAAGCGCGGTCCATCCACTGGACGATACCGTCCCAGTAGCCCTCAATGTTGAGTAGAACGATGCCGCGGTTATGGATTCCCAGTTGGTTCCAGGTAGTTGTCTCGAAGATTTCCTCCATGGTACCAAATCCGCCACTCAAGCCAATGAAGCCACTGCCGGGACCACCAGCAAAAACCTCCTCGGCCATGAGCTTCTTTCGAGTATGCATATCCTTGACAACTGTCGTGCGGCCATAGACAGACTCCTCGGGCACAATGTGGTTATGTTCATTGACAGTTCCGTAGGTGCCATCTCGTTCAAACTTGACCAGAGCCTCAGGGATGATGCCATGAACAGACTCGGGGCCATTGATTGCGCAGAGACTCTTTGCCACCTCGCCCATAAGTCCGACAGTCCCTCCTCCGTAAACTATTGTCCGGTGTTAGCCATGATGGGGTCATACCCGGAGGTCGGCGATTGGCGGCCCGCGATGGTATCTGTTGCTGGCGGACCGCCTCTCTGATGTGACTCACCTAGGTCAATATTGTTTTCAGCCATGGCTCTTCCGAGAGCGCGAGCAGCTTCAATGTGAGCAGGACTCGCACCAGGAGCAGCACCACAGTAGACGCAAATCTTGGTTCGAGGGTGGCCGTTGTGTGAGGCAACGGCTGCCTGTGATGAGATGGTGCTGTCCGCAGTCATGATGGAGTTGTTTGTTGATTTGTTTTAAAGACTGTAGGTTGTGTGTGATAGTATATATAGAGAGGTTGTGTCTGGAAGGATTCGACTAAGTTTTAAGAAAGAAAGAGTTGAGTTCGTATGGAGCAGGACTATTTATTATATAATAAAGTGAGAACAATGACGGAGGCGGTTAACAATAGAACTCTTGTTTCTGTGAGTCTTATGTGGCGACCCTGAAGGATTCAACTTGAACTAAGAATATCCCAGATGAGTCAAACTTTGGAGCATAATAAATCGTACACCAGGAAAATAGAAACAAGAAAGAGTCAAGAGAATGGAAGTTTACAAGTTTATATACCAGTCATATGAATAGCCCAGGAACCACCTAGTTAAGCAAAAAAGTAACTTGACCAACACAAACATCCAAGGATCTGTCAACGGCCTATCGGGCTATTGAAATGGAGCGACGGGAGCCACGTCTTCGGAGGTGCTGCTTGCGGCCGTGCTCCCTGCATTCATGTATGTAAGTTGTGCCACTACAAACTGCCACTTATGAGATATGTTACTGGACAATGGCATTGATGACTGAGGTCAGCTGGTCACCGAGACGTGAGGCGTGTTCTAGCAGGATAGGGCGCTCCCCGGCATGGCTTAGCATGGATATCGCATCATGAGCATTGTCTTGAACATCATTGATGCGTTCAATGGCGGGGCCATGATCTCCCCATGATGCACTGTATCTTAAACTCTTTTAGTGGACGCATCTTTTAAACGTGGTCAATCTCCGAGCCGACAACGGCCGCCGCAGTAGAAGGTACAGGGGTACGTGTTCAGGTGGCCAATCGCTATTCGCTCGTGTCTACAGCACGTCAATGTCAACTGTCATGGAGCCTGAAGTGGACTTGCGAGGGGATTTCCAATTTCCATCCTTGGTCTCAGAACTCTGACCAACCAAACACATCGCCTCAGGTGCATCAACAGCCAACCTTGAGTCTAGTATCAAGGTAGGATCCTGCAGGTCTTCTTCAACCCAGTGCACAACGTCTGTCATTCTCTGCAATTGAATTGAAGCAGACGCAATGGCTGAAGCTCAAGTCTTGCCTCCCCGTCAAGGCGAGCAGCAGCAAGGTGGCGGCGGCGGTAGTGTAAGTCATAGCAAAGTAAACTTTGCATCGTAACCAGACACTAATATCGATTCTATCCAGGGTTTCAGCTTCAACAAGCTTCTCCTCGGCGGCGCCATCTACTTTGGCATCAATGCGGCCCTCAACTTGGCCTTGAAAAAGGACCAACGAGGAGTTACAGTCACCAATCCCGAAACTGGTGAAGCCGTTACAGTCCCTGGGAACGTCGAGGGCATTCCTCCTTTCCAGCTTCGCCCGAAGGAGCTCAACGAGGGCGCGACATACCGTAATATCCCAAAGAACATTGCGCCCATCTGGCCTCAAGATAGCCACGTCGATATCATCGTAACGCTCTCCCAGTCGTTCAACCCAGCCCCTATCTCGCAAGTTCCCGACAAATATCTTGTGCTGCAAGAGAAGGAGTTCCATCTTAGCAATAAGTCCGATAAGCGAATGATTGAGACGAAGTTCACGGTTCCTCCAGCTGTCCAGCATAATGGTACCCTCTGGGGTCATTTCTACATTGGCCTTCCTGGAAGTAATCTCGATCCTAAGCAGCCCGGATATGATACTTCCAAAGCCTACTACTTCACCTGGCCTCTAACACAATACCTTCCCAAGAAGAAGGTTGCCAAGACTCGAAACTTGCTGGAGGATATCCCCAAACATGAGGAGGAACCCGAAGAGGAGGAGCCCACTGGACCTATTATTGCGAACTATTATCATCCTAATGCAAGCTTGTCCTTCGTTCCCGATCTGGGTGTCAAGGATTTCGCCACGATGGCTCCTCAGATGCGACAATACTTGCGCCTTGAGGCTACTGGTGCTCGAGATGGCTCTGGTCAGCACGCCTGGTACTGTAAGTAGTAACAACTTATATGCCAATGACATGGTAGCTAACATTGATAGACCCTGTTCTGTTCGTCAACACTTTTTGGCAATTGACAAACCAGATGACCCTCCTCAACGACACCGTCAAGGAACTTCCCCTTCGTATTGATCTCGGTAACTTGGCCAGCTGGCAGTTCCAGCTCATGTCTACACTTGAGACCAATTCCAAGGAGTCTGCTCGACAGGCAGCATTTGGTGGTTCGCTTCCTGGTGGCGGTGACGGCACCGAGATCGAGATGATCAAGGAGGTGTTCCTCGACTCAAACCCAATCTTGCTCGGTGTTACCATTGTAGTCAGTATCTTGCACATGATTCTCGAGACTCTGGCGTTCGGGTCCGATATTGCCCACTACCGCAAGAAGAAGGACAACGTCGGTATCTCAGTCCGTTCGATCCTGGCTAATGTTTTCATGCAAACTGTCATCTTCCTGTACCTCCTCGACAACTCTCAGAACACTAGCTGGATGATCCTGGGATCTCAGGTCGTCGGTATAGTCATTGAGTTCTGGAAGATCACCACGGTTGTCAACGTTCGCATTCGTCCTGGCGGACCAGGATCTTTCCTCCCTTACACTATCGCATTCGAGGATAAGCAAAAGTTGACTGAGACTGAAGAGAAGACCAAGGAGTACGATGAGATTGCTTTCAAATACATGTACATTGCTGGCATTCCTCTGCTGATCGCATATGGCATTTACTCTCTCTACTACGATTCCCACAAGTCGTGGTACTCATACATCATCACTACTTTGGTGGGATCCGTCTACGCTTACGGTTTCTTGATGATGGTTCCCTCGCTGTACATCAACTACCGACTGAAGAGTGTCGCCCATATGCCTGCCAAGGCTATGATGTACAAGTTCCTCAACACCTTCATCGACGATCTGTTTGCTTTTACCATCAAGATGCCTTTCTTGCACCGTTTGGCCACTCTTCGCGACGATGTTATCTTCTTCGTGTATCTTTACCAACGATGGGCTTACCGCATCGATTACAGCCGTGTCAACGAGTTTGGCCAGGGTGGTGAGGACGAGGCAGTTGACGACAAAGAGGCCAAGGAAAAGGCCAAGGACAAACTGGTTGAGGATGTCAAGGCCGAAGCCAAGACAAGTAGCGCGGATACTGGTAAGGCCAAGAAGCGGAAGTGAGTTGCAGACGGCAATAAGAGCCGAGGAAAGGCCCTTGGGTTTAGACTGTCGGGTTTGCTTCGCAGTCATAACTTTGATATCTATGTTGTAGTTCTAGTCGGCCATTTTAAGCTGAACATCAGATACATAGGAATCAAGACCATCTATGCAACGAATGATCTTTCAGGACTCGTGTAGTGAAACAATATGATTCATATGAGGTGAGCCATTGTCATTGCGTTCGCCCGTAGCACAATCTTTGATAGTCCATTGATAAGCTTTCCTTGGCTCGAGTTGACTTATGGACTGACTTGGTGTATGTCTTCTGATTCGTAGCCCTACGAATATACGAAGCTACGAATGATCGATTTGGACGATAGGACAGAGGAATACCCTGGTCTCTAGGTTCGGGACACCCGACAGGACGTTGCAATTTATGACCCACTAACGGGCGTCATAGCGGGTGAGTTACAGGGGACTTCAGTGCTGTTCCCTATTCCGTCATTTTGCGGAGGAGCTCACCTCAGCTTTTTGATTCAGTGTGTGTATCAATGGAAGCTGGCTGTTTCAGACTTGGGGGGTCCAGTGCCCAGTACGCACCTCAAGTGTCCACGATTCGTACATAACCCACCTACCTTTAGGTAGTCGTACCTAAGCAGCTAAGACAACTCTCTTTTTAACCATATTTCCCTCCTTCTACATCCCCTGAAACTCTTCCATAGACGGCCTGAAGAATCATTCCTTGGTACCCCCAGTATTTTTTGCCTGCACAGCCTCGTCTTCACGAGGGTCACTTTGACAATAACGGAAAGGACCCTGAACAGAAGTGCTACGAACATTACGTACCTACCAATTGCTCAGCCTCATAGGTGCTTTCGGTTGCTTGGTTACATGAATACAACCAAGTAAATAAATAGCACAGCCGAACGCTCCCGTCCTGTGCGCCCTACCTTGGAGCTCTTGTCGCCTCTATCATCACGTCAAGCTTCCTTCAATAACCTCCCGTTCTCTCGAGCCGGGGGAGTCCGGTTCGAGCCGACGAAACCTCATGCGCCGCCCCCAATCGCATCAGTCCCTCGCCCTGCGACGACGCCGGTGATTGACATCTCTCTACTACTTCGAATTCCTTGCTTTTTCTACCACGGATTATACCCTTCCACGAGACTTTGGGCTTACGTTATCCTCCCTCGACTCAACCCCGCGCCCTCTCAATACTTGGGAGAAATCGCAAACCTTATCCTCGACACCGAATCATGAGCAGCTCTGACTCGGTCGGGTCATTGCTTGCGGCCATTGCGACTCTTTTATCCCAGGGATTGCGAATCCTCAGTTTGGCCGACAAGAGCCATTGGGGACCGGACGAACACGAGCAAGTACACGCCTTTGCTTCTGCGTTGGACGAAGCCAAGAAGGACTTTCAAGCATTGGCACCTTTGGTTAATGGACAGATATACTACGAGACCGACCGCAAACGTACGTATTCTCCGATGCAGGCATTCCCGTTGGCTTCGGGCTTCTACAGTTGAGTAATGAATCTGTTTACTGACTTGTTGGCCAGATGAATCCATCGAGGAATTGAGAGCTCTCAAAGCTCAGTTTACAGCTCATATAGAACAAATACGAGATTGGAGCCGGTCAGGCGGTCCAATCAACCCAATATGGGTCCGCGAAACACATGCTTTACAGCGAAAATTACACAGAGCACAATGTCGAGCAGCACGTCGAATTTATAGCTCGGAAAAAGAAGGGTCGGCAAGGTGTTTGGGAGCTTTCCTTGTCTATCGACAACAGCGACAATGGACGTTAAATAAGACCGTGCCAGACGAGGCCGAGTATTCGAGAAGGTATCGGGAGGAGCTACGCTTATGCAATACTATTGGGTCGTTCAAGCGATTTGGCGATCGAGATATCGCTTTCGTTTGCGACTATTGCGATGGTCACATAGTATGGGAGGATATTGAGAATATGCCCTCGATACGGACGTTCCAAGAAGCCGCTGCGTCTCCAATATTGACACTATCACCAACAATCGATAACCCTCACTGGCAAGCAACAGCGTTCACATTGTCTGGACATCAAGAGAAGCAGGTTGTATTTGCGCCCGTAGCCATCGCAAATCATGTGGCGCCACAGCCTCGGGATTGGCAGGCCGGCTTACTGTGTCCATATTGCGAAGTGGAATCAACAGAACCTCAAGAGCAGTATGATGATGAGGATGCATATCGACCAGATTTGGGGTACGAAGACATGGAGGCGTTTCAGGAACATCTTGAATGGCAGCATACAGTGACGGCGCCAACCTCTCAGGCACAGGCGGCTTCAGATAAGTGCATAGTGATGTAGTTGAGAGTAAGCGGTCGATTTTGGGGCTTCTTAACAAAAAATGTGGTGTTTTCCTTCATGATTTTGGGTAGAGCAGATGACATATGGAGTTTGGAGTCTCATACGGTATGACCTAGGTGAGATAGCATGGTTTAGGAGCAGCATTGAGGTTATGATTTAGCAAGAATTGCCAAAGCCAGCACAGATAGACGAATTAACTTAGTCATAAATGATCATATAAGTAAGTACACAACCCAGCAGCGCCCCCTCCTGTTACAAGGGCACAGCTTGGGCCTCAAATACCCCTGAAATGTTGAATCGTAGCTCTCAAATTGCACACTCCCAGAGTAAAGTACAAGTGGCCAGATTTAGTTATTAGATGTATAAACAGAAACAGCTCGCTTGCATTTCTTAAAAGAACCGCCAATACAGGAAAAAGATGATGATGAACCCAAGAGCTGCGAAGGGTCCGTACTGCTTGAGCAAAAGTTCCCAGTTGATACGCACCGCCGCCCTACGATACTTTTTGCTGTCATCACGCAGCCTCGAGCTAATCTCTCCCATGCGCTCCAGACTATCTCCACGGTAGAGTAAATCCTCAATGTTCTTGGTCATTACCTTTGTCACATCGCGCAGCTCATCATTGAGTTTATCGAGGTTAGCCGTGGCTCGGGAATCGGCGTAGGTGGTCTTTGTCTTGGAGATAAAGGTGTCAAACTCCATGAAGGCGTAGGGTCGCAGAGCAGGCGAGTGGACCTGGGATGCTGGGTAGGTGGTCGTGAACTCGCGTGCGAGATCGGCTAGGTAGGTAAAGGCAAGCTTTCGAGGGTACGAGGGAGCGCAGATGGCGAGGAAGACGATGTCCGAGTCGATGAGGTAGTGCAGCGTATGGTTGGGGGTCTCGATGGAGGCCTGGGACTCGGAGTTGCGTGTGAGCTTGCGGAGGACCTGGCGCACGTTCTGCTTGGTCTCTGCGAGGGTGGACTCGGCCTGTTCAGAGGTTCGTAAGCATGAAATCGCAGTAAAGCTGATTTGTGGAGAGTACCTGTTCATCATCGACTGAAGCACAGAGCATGAGGCCTAGCAGTGTGTTAGTGTATACATTTATGGTGTTATAGAGGATATTGACCTACCATCAAGCCTTGATATTTGCGTAGAGTAGATCATTGTAGTGGTTCGTGGGCAGAGTGCTGGGTAGCAGGGGAAAGTTGCGCCGGCCTAGAAGTGGTTTGTTTCTTTGGCTTGAAGACTTTCACTACCACTACGTGTCAAGAAAGACAGGCGATAGAGGGATGACGTCGAAGGGGCACGAGACTGAGCCACGCCAAATATGGCCAAATTCTGTTTCGATGATCGATTTGAGTGAGTCTTTTATCGGAGATTCTCTCAGTTTCTGACTTGCAATATTACTGTTTGGTCGTTTTGGCTTTTGGAGGATCTGTATGTATATGATCGATGGTCAGTGGAGCTGGCGCATGGCAGAGGGAGCTCTGTGCTGATAAGATAACGAACCGACTTGTCATTCCAGTTCAAGATGGTAATTTGTGATGAATTTCGCATTCAAATATTCTTTTGGCTCATCAAGAAATACCTATTTTAGAGCCTTCTTGCAAAGAAACTCTATTTTTACTCGCTGTGCCAAACACCCCATCTATCAGTCTGTAATTCAGAGGTTCTATAACGAAGGTCATTTAGGAGCCTGTAAACTCCAAAGTCAAATCATCATGGCTCTACAACAGCAAAGGTCAAAGGCCATGATGCGTCAATTTTATATGATGGAAGTCGTTTCTCATCTCTATATCTCATCCTCTTCATCGTCAAAGTCATCCTCTCTGCCCATTTCGTAAAGAATTCTTCCACCTTCTCCTGCACCAATGTCCGTTTGCGCATCAAAATATGGCAACACAATACCCTCTCGATCCTTTCGTTGCTTCTCTGTGAGCCCCAGATTGAATGTGCTCTCAGGTTCCTCCTCTCCTTCACCAGTCTCTCCGCTGTCCGTTGGTGCTGCGAACATTGGGTGGTCTGTAAGCAAACACACCTTGCCGGGTTGAGGCGCTGTAACCAAACCCTTGGAGCTGAGAATAAACTTTTCTGAAATAGTTCTTCCACTTCTTCGTCGTAGTTCCATATTAATGACAAATCCATTGCTGTCCTCGTTCCGGTCTCTGCCCTTTTCTCCGAGTCCGACGAGTACTCCCTCACGATCTTCGTTCAGACCCCACTCTGGCTCCTGAATACTCCTGTTTCGAGCCTTCTGACGCTCAATCTCTTGGTAAAGACTGGATAGCCTCAGGATAGCAGTAGCAAGGTGGCATAGTACTGTGAAAGGATGAGGTTCGTACTCGCTGAACGACCTTGGTAGTACTATGGGTACATCATCATGGTACGTGGCAACGATAGAGACAGCTGGCGTGATGATGCTGGAGAGAAAACTTGCCAGGGACTGAGGAGCGGCAGATGCCAAGGCGTTTAGTGAGTCAACAATCACAACGGCCCCTTGAGATAGTTAGTAACGATATGACCTATGATCATGACTCTGCTGGGCTTACTTTGAGTGGGCTTCCCCTTATCCAAAAGAGGGTTGAAAGCAGGATAATGATTCAGCAAGTCTTTGCGCACAGTCTGAAGATCTCTGCCCGCAGCTTTTATGAAAACATCTGCATCTTGTGGTTTCTTCAGTGTTACCAGCGACAGGAAGATAACCTGTGTCTTTGCAATCTGCATCTTCCAAGTTAGTCATACTGGCTCTCATGCTTTAGGGGACGTTCAATACCTTTGCTCTCGACACAAATTCGCTAAGAACTGGTCGCGCAGGTTGCTCGAGATTGTCTATCACGAGAGTAAGAGGACTTGCGCCGTCACGAAGGTTGAGGAGTTTCTGTAAGAGCAGCAGACTGTGCGATCGGGCATGAGCATTCGAGGCTGGTGCCATCGTATGTTAGGGCACGCCTGAAGCCTGTATAAGCGCTAATTGATAGTTTGTGGTCACTGTAAATAATACGGTCAACTTGTGCGATCTCATAAAACGGGTGAATATATCTTTTTTAAGGCTGGGAAGATGAAATATTCCAATCAGCGCCTGGATCTTGTTTGTGGTGGGTGTTGCTAAAATTCAGTGGGTCATCCGTCTAAGGTAGGTATCCTCAGGGAGCCAGAAAACAACAGACCTTGTTATGAGGTGTCAATATAAACTCAGCAAAAGGTATAATAAACTTATCCTAAATTTATGCCAAGTTACTTAGTCTTTTTGTCACTTAGGACCAAGATCAGATCCTGAATATTCTTTCCCCTAGTCCATCTCCCGCTTTCGTGACTCGCTCGGAAGGACTACCATTTCATGACCTCAGTTCACAGACACATCAGGTTCAAGTGTAGAAACCGAACTTCAGGCAACGAGTGCTCTCTGATTCCGAGTGCTCATCATAGTTCAAGTGAAAAGAACGGTTGGTTTATGTAGAAAGAGAGTGTAGAGAGATGATAATGCAGTTTATCATGCGGAAAGTTACAGTGCATCTTAGGTCTTAAGGACTGTACTGCGTACTGTGACGCCAGGTCCCACCTCAGGAGAGCCAAATACGCAAACGCCTTTTAAAATTAGGTAGTCTATAGGTAACTCAAGCAAGCCATGATAATGAAGTCAAAATATAAGCAAACTTCCCGTGTCAAAATTGCGGTGGAGTTCTATCATGGATGAATAATAACGCTCCAACTTCATTGCTTCGCTCTTTACCCGCAGATTCTATCCTCAAGCAAGCTCATCCCTTGTATCGTCACCATCAACCTCCATCATGGAGCTTTTTCGCTGTGCAATGGCCACAGCTATAGGTCCCTCGTGCGCCGGTTCACATCTTTGAAGTTCGTCAACCTCGGAGTCAATGTCGAGATTGTCTTTCTTGTCCGAAGTGCTGTTCTTCATATCGATATCCTCCTTCTTGTCCGTCTCATTCTTGACTGTCTCAGTGTCCTCCATTGTGACGTCGGTTGCCTCCTTTGACACGGCAGGTCCTCGCCTTGTCTTGAGCTCTGGTGGTAGCTCGACATCCCATTCATCTCTGAACCTGTTGTCCAGAAATTCGTCGAAATCCCCCATCTTGCGTCTCTCATGAGCTGCCCAAGCATGCGCTAGCCATTCGGGATCATGCCGGCCTTGGGCGATGTTTTCTGTGTAAGCAGCACAATCGTGGCGGAAACTGTCGTCGTTCATGAGTGATGCAAAATCAGGACAGGCATCCTCTGTGCCAGGATTTAGAATGTGCTGGGAATCAGGGAACAGTGCCAGGATTTCTGCCTTCTCTTCTTTGTCAAGAATATCCCAGGCCATCGGATTCGACAGTATGCTCTGCTTTCGTCAGCGATCTTACTATATTATAAAAGACGGAGTGAGTGCCTGACTCTGAGATCAGCTGAAGCTAGGGGTGATTTAGGATCCGTCAGAAGGTTATCTGCGTTCCACTTCGACTTTTTCGGTACTTTTTTCACTAGGACCCTCCGCTTGCCTTTGGCCTTCTTCTTAGAGGTCGTCGCTGGGGTATCTTCTCGACCATTGAGCGAAGTCGAAGGCGAATCCGGCGGCTGATCTGTCATGGTCGGGCTACCATGATCCTCGTGGTCAGGTGCTGATGAGAGGGGAGACGATGACGGTGCGTTCTTTTGTGCTTCATTTGATTCACCTCCGTCGATGTTGACAGTTATAGTTTCTTCTTGTTTGTCGGTCATGGTTGTGAAACCGCAAAGATGATCAGTTACAGGTGAAAGAGGGCAATGCTGGAGAAAAGACGTTGTGTTTGCTGCTGGGCGATGAATGTAGCAGAATCACTAGAGGCCCACGAGCATCGAGATTGAAAGAGTAGAAGAAAGAAAAAGAAAAAAAAAAAGCTTTCGATATGAATTTGATTTGAAACACCTTCAAGTTGCCTCTTGAAGGTGGCCTTGAAGAAGCTTCAATGCGACATGGTAGAGATCTAGGGTAAGCCGCTCTCAGCAACTCCTGCGCTTTTGCGAACCGTCCTCTGCAGCTG